CCGGCCCCCCCGCCCGGCCGGCGGCCACCGGGTGCCTGGGTTCCCCGGGTCTGGGGGCAGGGAGGGTTGTCCTGGGACTGGGGACGTCCCCAGCAAGACAGACACCCCTCCCGCTGCTCGCACCCAGCCCGGGTGACACATCCCATCCCCTGTCCCCACAGCCAACAGCAACGAGAGCGACATCATCAATGCCATCACGGTGGAGAAGAGCGCAGACGGCAAGCTGGGCTTCAGCGTCCGTGGTGGCTCCGAGCATGGCCTGGGCATCTTCGTCAGCAAGGTGGAGGAGGGCAGCGCTGCCGGTAAGTGGGACGGGGCCAGGGATGCCTGTGGGGACAGACACGTGCCAGCAAGACCCTCTTGGGAAGCTCCCAGTAGCACGGTGCCACAGCGGCAATGCCACCCTTCATGGTGGCAAGCCACCATTTGCCTCTGGACGCGCCCATGGAAAAGGGCTGGGGACGGGAGTGAGCAGCCCCATGCCAATGCCTCTGAGCTCCATCCCCAAGCCGCAGCGAGGTGACAAGTGCCCCGTGCCTGCCACAGCCCCAGTGCGATTGCCAGGCATGCCCACCTCTGTTCCCGTGGGGTTTGGATCAGGTTGGGGACACCCTTAGGGAGGGGACACCAAGCAAGGGCACTGCTGGTGGGTCAGGTGCCCAGCTGAGCCGTGTGCCCCTCGCAGAACAGGCTGGGCTCTGTGTTGGTGACAAGATCACGGAGGTGAACAGCGTGAGCCTGGAGAACATCACCATGAGCAGTGCCGTCAAAGTCCTCACTGGCAACAACCGCCTCCGCATGGTGGTCCGGCGGATGGGCCGCGTGCCGGGCATCAAATTCTCCAAGGAGAAGACGGCGTGGTGAGCAGGGCATCCCTCACGTAGGCATCCCAAAGCCCAGCTCCATGGAGGGCATGGTGGGGAGGCTTGGTGGGGGATCCTGGGGAGCAGGGAAGATCCCAGAGCTGGGGGACACCCAGGGTGGGGGGGCATTGGAGGTCTCTGATGAAGCTGGGGAGAACCTAGGGTGGGACATGGGGTGGGATGGAAAGGTCTGGAGCTGGCTGGGTGGGTGCAAGCCCAGTCCTCACCATCCCCAT